GAAAGTGATCAGGAGTGAGGAAGATGGGGGAGAATGAGAGAGGGAAAGACAGGAGAAAAATGTAAGTGTGGTAAAAGAGTAGGGTAGAGTGTGAAGAGAAAAGGGAAGAAAATGGAGATGCAGAGAAGAGTAAGGGAAGGAACAGGAGGGATGGATTAAGGAGAGCCCCAGGTGGTATAGGAAGTAAAGTTGCCAGCTCTCCCTCTGGCATATGTCCTTGCCTGCGGGAGCACCCAAGGACCAGGGAGAGGGCAGCTGGTCCTTAGCCACGTCCAGGCAAGGACGTGCCAACAGTGGCCGAGTCATGCCAACGCTGGGCATCCCATGCCAGCAACTGTCCTTGTGCGTAGAAACCCACGTCAGGCCAAACCTCTGCGGAATCTCGGACAATAAAAAGGCAGCGGTGATGCTGTCTGCCTTTTGTTTATTTTCTGTTGATTCATCACTCTTTTGCCCTGCCTTGTTTAGTTTTTGCAGCAGTCGGTGTCTGTATTTCTCTGTGTTTCTCTGTGGCAGGAGTTTCAGTTGTGTCTGTTTCTTATTCAAAATTTATCTCTGAAAATGACAAAACAATTCAAATTGTCTACTATTATATATATATATATATACATATAAATTTGTGTGTATGTGTATATTCAAATAGATAAGATATTTTGACTCAATAGAAGATCAAGAATTTTAATTCAGCAATCTCCATTAACTGATTTGTTTGATTTTTCAGTGATCAGTAATATGCGATTACATTAATAATATTTCACCTCCTGGCTACTGCCATTCTCCTAAACCAACCAGACACGCCAACTTTCCAAAGAAATATGTCCTACGGTTTATTTGGGCCAAAACAGTGTTTGCATTCTTATATCACAGGGAAAGACAGGCTCACTTTGTAAAGCCTTAATTTCAAACAAGCAAATAAGAATTTAATCTTCCAAAGTTCAGATACGTTAAGTGCCAGCACACATAACTCAAAATCAAACAGAACAAACACACACTTCAAATTTTTTTTTTCTAAACTTGATGAAGCAAGGGAAATTAAGTGGAATCACTGATACCAGTTGACCAAATAATGTTCTTCTTTTACTGAAATAAGACCCACAAGCTAAATATGTGACGACATGACTCTTTGATATGTTTTGTAAAGCAAACATAATTTCTTAACTAAGGTGTGTGTAGAAACTCTGACACATCCTGTATGGTTTTCAGGCGGTCATTTACATTTACTGGTTTAGCATGTTGTTGATCTGTTGCTGGGAGCCTCTTCTCCCAAACATTTAGCAGACAGTGCTGATGAGGCCATTTGTTCCATCCTCTCATTAGCCAATGACAGGCAGTGTCTTCCTGATGTAATCATTGGTCATTAGGAAAAGGCATTAATTCTGTTATTTACCACAAACTCGGTATAAAGTATTTATACTCTTCTGTGTGTCTGTGAGACACACAGCTGAACATTAACCAGATATGTCCAATTACTAGGTGGACATGGGCCAGTGCTCTGATTGGGTTTTAATGATTAATGAGATTTTTGATGACTTTCTCTCTAATCCTCTCAGTTGGAACCCCAGGATCATGGCAGCTGCAGCTAAACGGACATGTAAAATATGTCTGAGTCTGAATGAATCATTGTTCATTGTTTCTTAAGAAATTGTGGTTTCAAAATATTTAGCTGTTCAAGCAAACATTGATCGCTCACGAGACAGATTGCAATGTTCAGCCAAATTTCCACAGATTGCTTAGAATCCTTCCAAGGTATTCCGCTTCATTAGATGTAGGGCTTACTGAAATCAAAGCTACGAAACAGGAAAATGAAAAGTGAAACCTTGGCACTGTTGATCACAACCAAGATAGGTCAAGTCAAGTTTGAAATATTTAGCCCAAAATCAATCAGGAACCACAGATTTGCCTCAAAAGGCTTTATAGTCTGTGCAGCATACAGTACAACACCCTCTATCCTTAGACCCTTGAAACTCCCCCTCCAAAAAACTTCACAACAGAGGAGGGATCCTTCTTCCAGGGAAGACAGACATAATAGATGTCTCATGTACAGATTAGACACAAAAAAAACCCCAGTAAAATTACACTATGGGGAAATAAATGGCAATATTAAACAAATAGATTGCATTCAGTGGTTATTTTCTTATTGACCGCATTGAAATATATTTTAGCCTTTCTTCGTTACCTTAAAAAGGCACATTAACACAGTTTATTAGCATACACTATCAAAACCTTGTTAGCAGGTGAACAAGACCAGTCATTAGGTGGAGAATGTTGTTGTGCCAATTCCAACAAACCATTAATGTGATTAACTACACTGCCGATACAGAATCTTTCTCAACACATTGGAGCAAGTGCCAAGTGAAGAAAACAACAGTTATAAAGTAAAATTCAAAACATCAAAATGTCAAGATATCTGTTTAAATCTAATCTTGGTTGGAGGCTTGTTTAGAAGTAGAACAGCAAGCCTGCAGTCAATCTATTTCGGGGGCAAATAGCACAGACTGAAGGTGTCTGCTTAGCGGCAAGTCAGAAGCATTATGATCAGTGTGCTTTTGACATACTGTGTTGTTTTGTGTGTGTGTGTGTGTGCGCGTGTGTGTGTTTGTGTGTGTGCGCGTGTGTGTGCGTGCGTGTGCTCGTGTGTGTGTGTTAGTGAAAGAGAGTGTACCTGAAAACAAGCTGTTCTTTAGCTGTGAGTGTAGGTGTCAAATGTACTGTAGGTACTATATAGCAAAACCCCAGGGAGAGACTAGTTGTCACCTCAGTGCCAGCTAATAAGGATCCGAATGAACCAAATTTAACAACCAGTTGTACAGTCAAACAGCCCTAAGTTCGATTATACTGATCAACAATGACATACATCAACGCTCACTTGTTATTGTTCACAGAGTTTTGCAACTAATTTATTGATTTATTTTGCCCAGAATTATGACTGTTTACAATTAAGTTGATGTGATTAGTCAATCAACAGAAAATTAATTATTTTGGTAATTGTTTCAGTCATTTTTCAAACAAAAAGGCCAAACATCCTCTGGTTCCAGCTCCTTAACTGTAAGGATTTGATACTTGTTGGTAAACTGAGTATCTTTAGGTTTTGGACAAGATGAAGAATTTGAGGCTGCTACCTCGAGCTCTGTGAAATTATACTCTGAAAATTTCAGAAAGTAACAAAATATGCAAAGAGGGCAGTTAATCAATTAATCAGGAAAACAATTGGCAGATTAACCAATAATGACAATAATTATTATTTGAAGCCCTTACTTCCTTGATTAGCATTTCTGAGGAGTAATGTTGAACGTCTTTTCTATCCCCACTCGTCTATTATCTGACTAAAATGAATATCAGCTTGAGAATGTGTGATTATGTGAAGAGGCATGTTATGAATAATGACAGTAAGGATTGCACTCTCTCCGATGTGTCCGGACTCATGAGCATCAGTGTCGCAAACAATGGTCAGTGTGTGTGTGAGTCTGTGCAGGATATTGATGATAATGAGATTTGTTCTGTCACACTGGGAGAAATAGAAAACAGTGCATTTTCCGAGAAAGATGGATAGTCATGCTGCATGCTTTATTGCTTGTGTTACTGTGGGATATTAGGGGGGGAAATAGTGAGTAAATGGAGTGTGGCTTGGGAAATACTAATAAATATGGATTAGAAAAAGATGAAAAGGGAAACACAGATAGATTCGAGGACATGTGTGAAGTGAGATGAGTGAGAGTCCTGTATGAGAATCAGAGCCAAAGAGTAAGAATCCCCAAGTGGCGGAGAGAGCACCCTCTCTTTTCCCAAGTCTCTCCTTCCAAGTGTGCTTTGCCCAGTGTTGCGATGGCAACGGTGAGTCTTCCACAAGCTGACCGCATGCACACACTCGCACTACAATATGTGTGTACGCAATTGCACACACATACTACACCACCTGAACAGCCATGTGTACAGATTTGAACAGATTACACACACAGGGGCACGCACACACACACACACACACACACACACACACACACACACACACACACACACACACACACACAGCCTCCAATAGAAGGCTCAACTGTTGGCTGATAATAAACACACTCCAGCTCCAGGCAGAGAAATTACTCCTCTAACATAATGTACTGTATGATATTTCCCTGCTACTAGGAGGTAAACACATTAATCAGTCGTTAACAAATTAATCGGCAACAATTTTACTAATCAAGTGATTTTTTTTTTTTAAGGCAAAAATGAGAAATACGCTCTGGTTCCAGCTTTTAAAAAGCAATGATTTACTGCCTGTTTTTTGTTTCCTTTCACAGTAACTTGAATAGTTTTGAGTATTAGACTGTTTGGAGAAAATATTTACTTATTCCACAAAATAAAAGAATAATCCCATAATGGAGAAAATAAATTGCAGCCCAAAATACTAATGATCATATCAGAACCATATTTTATATTATACAGTACATATGTTATGCAAAAAAAAAAACACGCATCACATGCGTTCCCAATCCATGTAGTCATGTCGACAAGTGGATGCTGAGATGTTTACTGAACCGTAGAAAAACAGTTTCAAATGTACGATTACAGATTGCAAAGGGTTGAGCTGCATGCCTGAAATAAGAACATCCAAATCTGATTCCATCCATCTCATCTCCTACCCTCCCACACAGAGCAACCCTTTCACCTGCTAGCTGGTTAATTATCACTAGCAGCTATTTCAAGCCTTACATTAGTCGTACTGCACTGAAGAAAAGAGATTCTCAGTCATTGGATAGAATAGATCACCGAACAAACAGTAATGTCTTTTTCTAGATTTTGCTCAACTAGAGACTCCATGAAAAGTCTCCATGAGAAAACACAGTTGTTGGTGCAGTAAAAAAATGTAAGAATTTCAGTGAGCGATATAATGTGAAAGTGAAAAACAACCACAGATCAATAAGAAGCACAAATTCGTCCATATTGCAGGAAATATTGTTCTGAATATAGAACTGCGAAATGAGAAAATCTCTTCCTCTGCCTCTCTCCAGCCCCCAGATAAGGAAGGCGGTCTGCCAAAGCAGGTGGGCAACAAGACAGAGTGCGGCCTGCTGGGATTGGTTTTGGACCTGAAGCGGGATTACCAGCCAATAAGAAACCAGATCCCAGAGGAGAAGCTTTACAAAGTCTACACCTTCAACTCTGTCAGGAAGTCCATGAGCACCGTCATCAAATTGCCTGATGGGAGCTTCCGCATGTATAGCAAAGGAGCCTCTGAGATCGTCCTCAAAAAGTGAGTCTGGTTTTGTGATTAAGAGAAGATGATTCTGATAGTAACAGCAGCATAGTCATTATTGTACAGTAATATTATATAATCAAGTTCTGTATTTTTTCGCGAAATATATAGCAAACCATTCTAAAGTGCATAATGTATTTGAGGGCACAACCTATTGCACATTCTCTAGGCAGTGAGAGTGGGAGAAGGTCGCATAATTGTGACATTTTACAGTACATTACTGTGACATTACAGCAACAAATGAGTAACTCTGAGAAAAATATGAGAGGCAATTCCTTCACCCACTTTAGGAGGAGGCAGAAATTCTCTTTAAAGACGGAACGATATTAAAATCAAGCCTTTAACGTAACGTAATTATGAAGTCATGTAGGTTTCTTGACTGTTACACTGCCAACATACATATAACACGTTTAAGGTATTGTACATTTAATATAGAGGAAGCTACAGATTCATTAGGGTAAGTAAGGTAAAATGCAAATTAAAAGCAAGCTGATGAGTCCTAAATGACATTTGCACAGATAACAGTTCATTCATTGTATTAAATGGCTAAATGACTAAGAGCAGTTGAATTCGATCCACTTCTTTGTGTTGCACTGCACACCAGTACACCTGTCTATTTCCCATTTGTATTTTCATTCAGTTTGCCCATTAGAAATCCATTTAATGTAGATTGCATGTAAATATCTTTTGGTTTCATTAGACCATCAGGTACTCCTCACCATGACATCGAGGATCATGAGTCCAGAAACCACTGACGTGTTGAAACTGTGGTGGACATCAAGTTGACCACATTTTCCTCAATGTTTGGAAAAATAATATTAAAATAATTTCATTGTTTTCTATGTTTGGTCGTATTGGCGTAGCTCAAAAAACAGTCCCAATACACAACTTTAAATACCTCTATCCCCAATGCTCTTCAACCCATCCTTAACTACAGATGCAGCCATATTCTGAACGAGGTGGGAGAGTCGAGGGTTTTCCGTCCACGGGACAAGGACGAGATGGTGAAGAAGGTGATTGAGCCCATGGCATGTGATGGCCTGAGGACCATCTGTGTGGCATACCGTGACTTCTCCAGTGATCCTGAGCCAAACTGGGAAGATGAGAACAACATCCTTAGTGACCTCACAGCCATCTGTGTCGTTGGGATAGAGGACCCTGTCAGGCCAGAGGTAGGAGAGCGTGAGATGTTTTTGTTACACACTGAGAATAGTAGATGTTTGGCAAATGGTCTTTACTACCAACTATCAGCAGCTTTGTCACATTTCTGTCCTTACCATAACTTTAAAGCACAAGTGGTTTTCTTTTTTTTACGTTTTCAGTGCCTCTTCTGTGCTACTTGCGCAAGCTGCTGTAAAAATGTAATTCTCCCTCAGGAACTATCTATCTATCTATCTATCTATCAGGCTTTTATATGTACAGTTCTGTAACACTGAACAAGAGACAACCTAAAAATGATAGACAGCAGTCATTTACATCCTGTATGTCAACACTGTGCCGTGTTGTTTCAAACACAGTATGGTTGTACTGTGCAAAGATAGTCAATATGTGTATGCCTTATCAATGTGACAAGGGTGTTAATAAATCATGGTGGAAGCCACAGCATGGCAGTATTATAGACAGCAAGTTTGAAAACAGCACATTTTTCGAGTTATAGCGTAGAAGATATCTTGATGCTGTTAGAGGAGACATACTGAGACATAAATGAAGTGTGTGGTATGAAATGGGTAAAGATAAAGGTAGAGACTCTAGTTCAATAATAAATAGATATACAGTATATTTATTAAATTTATTGAGAGGGTAAAATGTTTATGCAGATACGTAAAGTACACATGAATAAAATGAATTCAGAGATGGCTTCAGGCTTGAAGAAAAGTACATTTGACCTCTTTAATGTAGTTCAGTGTGATGGAAGTATTTATAAAGAGAAGCAACAGAGACCCCTTATTATGCAAGCCTTACAAAAAAAAAAAAAAGAATTAAATAAACATTTGCACACTCACTTGCCAAACTGTATATATACTAAATACAGTAGTTTGAGTCCCTCTTTATCTCTTCTTTCCAGTTTTCATGGATTTCTCCCTGATTTCTAAGACTGGGATTGTTAATATTCAGTTGGTCTGGTTGATCCATTTTTTTTCCCCACAACATTTTCTATGGATTTACGTCAGACTTGTCTGAATGGAACTTGAATAGGAGGTGACTGTATTTCAGTGAGGAATGCTCACCTATTTACAGTTGAGCATTTATTAATAGTTTTGCTGTTACAATAAATCTTTTCTGTTGACGTGCTTGAGAATAAATATAATACAATATATCTGTATTGATTATGATATCAGATCTAAATGTGGAGCTGTCGAAGTAGAGAGTGAACAAAGCAGCAGGAACCTGGTTACACAAGCAGCCTGAACTACGAGCTGACAGAAAGGGATCATGTGTCATTTGAAAGGCTTGACAATAGGGTGTTTGCATGATCAATTGCTCCACTGATGAATGCCTCACTAAATGATTATTGATTCATGAAATGCACACTCAAGACTAGGCCAATCAGCTTTAACCTGCTAGAGATTTCTGACTGCACGTGCACTGCTCAGTTTTCATACATTGCTAATATTACATTTAATAAACATGCAGGTTATACTTACATGTGTTGCAGTTACAATGTTACATATTGTGAGTGTATGTACTGTTTTATATAGATAACATGTATTATGCTGGGTCCTGGCATGTATGATTCCTGGCTGAGACACAATTTTAGAACAATACTGTTTAGTTGCTTAGGAAGTTACTGTGCTTACTAAGGCATGGCCCTGTTTAAACCAAAAGGCTTTTACTTTGTTCTGGAAGGGGGAAAGGCCAGAGATAGGAAGTACAGTGACTATATTTAAGTATAGGTGTTGATACTTAACTCCACTTTATACTTTTACTCTCCAACCATAACCACTTAAATGTATCTATGCTGTGACAGAGATGAACTTGTATGTATTCTCCTCCATGCTTGGATTAGTGATAACAAGGAATTCATGGTGATTTTCCATCAAATCCATTTTCGAGAATAGTTTTAGAGGTAGATAGGGTTAAAGAATAGCCTCAACCTGCAGAGGAGTACATAACCCTACAAAAGAAATGAAAGCCTGAAAATCCTCAAATTGGGAGATATGGTGTGAGGGTTTCAAGGACAATGTGATTTTTTGTGTATTTCTTTTAAATAATTTAATTTGCGGATTTTCTACTTACTTATACTTGAAATTCAGTATTTTACCCCTTCACTTATGTCTTATTTTTAATTAAAGTACCTCTCTCAGCACAGTGGAAGGCAAAACAATTAACGGAATAAGTTATTCATCAACAAATAGTGCTCAGTGGTGCACATTTTCTATGATCAATTCATCTTCAAAGAAAAGAGGACTATAATTGGGAGAGAGAAAGTGGTGGAAAGAAGTATCTGCGTACAGTAGGAAAACTGACCTCACTTGACAGCTCCAGTGCAGGTACAGGGAAGCAGGAAACTGACTACTGCATTATTCAACTTCCTCCTTTCATCTTTTTTTTTTCCATCCCCCCTCCTCACTCTCTAACAAGGTCTCTCATTCAACCTCTCCCCGTCATGTTTTCTCCTCTCCACCTCTCCCCATATTGTGGGGTTTGACTTTTACCTGTCTGGTTGCTCTTTTTCTTTTGACTTTCTCTTCACCCTCCTTTCTCTCTCTCACTATGCCTTTCTCTCTTTTTGCATCTGAAGCCAAGTTATGTAAGCATCTGAACCGAGGTAGATAAAAAAAAAAAAAAGTAAGTACAGAGAGAAGAAGCAAAAAAGAGAAACTATCGTTCTCAAAACGAATAAGCGAACAATCTTATAAACAACCAGGCAAGTTAAAGAGAATAAAATGTTGTATCACAGTGTTATTTCAGGTTGTCATTTTTTTAAGCAAACCAGCTCTCGAGTTATCCTGAGAATAAAACTTCAAAATAGCAAGAAATGTGCAGGAGAAAAGCCAACTATTGCACATTGGAAATGCAATAAATGTGGTTTATGCAGGTGCTGCAGCATTGATTACCTAATATTTCAAACTGTAGATATCAGTATGGCCCGTTGCATTGCTCCAAGTCTGGAAGTTTGCAGAATTTCCCTTTTTTTTTTTTCCACAAAAGGAGTCACTTAACATCTGACATTTTCAATAACCAATGTGGAAAAGCAGTGCACCAAACACTGCTGCACTCCAATAATATCTTTCCAGGCTTCTTCGTAAGACTGGCTAATATTGGAAATGAGATGACTTTCCCCTCTGCTAAAAAGGTCACACAGAGTGATAAACATGTTTTTGGCTTGTTTATTAGTCTCTAATTTCTTCCTCCAGAATGCAATGTTCTTTTAATAACCAGCTGCTCTGTAGGGTTGCCCCCGGAGAGACTAGAGAAGAATGGAGGAAAATAGCGAGAAAAAGAAAAAGAGAGAGATATAGAGACTGAGAAAGATAAACAGATTCAAAATCAGGTTCATGTCAGAGGGACAGCGAGACTGCAGGAGGAGGAGGACAGGTAAGGAGAGAAACGGGGGAAAATGAGAGTGTAACCAGATCCACATTAGAGACACAAGAGGCTTGTTTTTCAGTCTCACCTACTAGCCTCTTAACCTCTCCCTCTGTCAGGCCAGATTATATTTTTAATAAGCGTTCACTCTTCTCCTCTCCTCCTCTCCTCCTCTTCTCTCCACCTCCTCCTTTTGATGACCAGTCAACAAGAGCGTTGGGAATCCAAAAGAAAGCAGAGTAAAGCAGACAGCAGGGATAAAAGATAGGCAGACGGGAAGCTGATATCTTGAAGAAGAAAGACATCTGAGTGAGAGCAGTTGAGAGAATGTGTTCTTCTTGCCACAATATTTACTGTAAGAACTTCTTTACCTTGTCAGATCATATTTTTAGAATGACTACTAATGAATTGTATATTGTGCTTTTTGCAGCACAAACTTTTCACTGTTGCTGTCACAAATGACCAACTCCGCACATAATACTGATGATAAAAGGCCACTAATTGCATATCTGTGAATAATATCGCTGTATCACTTTGAACCTCCTTTACCTTTTCCTTATCGGAAAATTACATCCAGAATAAATTTATATATTTATTATTTATATATATATATATATATATATATATGTGTATGCACACAAGATAATGATAAAATATTAATTTACAAGTAGGATGAAATCCTATGTTTCTGTTTGTTTGACCTCCAGCTCATTAAAGACCTACCTTCGTCCACTGTGTAGATATACTTTAAAATCCTTTAAATGAGTTAAATTCTTCATGTTTACATGCATGAGCAGCTTGATGTGGCAGTGTAATGTACAATTCAGCATTGTGCACACTTTGCGGTGGTGGATTCATTTAGTCTTCCAATCTATGTTATACTGTTTGTTTGTGTGTCTTTATGAGTACACACATGCTCCCATGTGTATGTGCAATATGCCCAAGTGTCTGTGAGTGTGAAGTGGAAAGTATGCATATTCCTGCCTCCGTGTGTGTGTGTCAAAGAGAGTACAGGCCTGTGTGTATGTGCAAGTAGATGTGAGTTGCTTTAACCGTATGTGCACACATTTGTTTATGTGTGGGTTTGGAGAGCAGAGCTCGCCCACACTGACCTTTGTCAGGAAGAAGACATGTTTCTGAATTCATACCCTGCCTTTGTTCACTTGTTCTAACACAGATCAATCTCCATACAGTAATATCTCCCAGTTAATCTTCTAGACTGCTGTCTAGAGGGAAAAGAGCACAGATAAAATGCTTCATTATACATCTTGTTAATACAAAAAGGGCCAAAGGCAGATGGATACTGCTCTGGAAGTATAATGGAGTTAGATTTTTCTGTATTTGTACCCGTATGTTTTGTCTGTCAAGGATAGGAATATTGTTGCTATTGAAATGTTCTTAAAGTGGCTGCAATATATATTTTTATATTAGCACTGGATCACATGACTACTTTTATGTGAAACTTGCTTTGACTGACGAAGACAGTTATCACCTGACTCTGCAGTTCTTCGTTCTACAGAACTTTTTTTTTTTTTTTTTTTTTTTTTTTTTTTTTTTAGCATTTTTCAGATCATTGTTGAACTGTGTGCCCCAGTACTTTCCTGCTTCAGTCTCACCACTCCCATAGTGTTGTTTTCAGCTTCAGCAGGCAACTGCTTTCAGGGAGAAAGCTCTAAAAACCCACAAACGCAGTGGAGCATTTAGCAGATAAAGAGCCCACATCAACCTCAAGAGGTAACTGCGACCAGAAACTGAATGTTGGTTTCACATTCACCAGGTGAACAGAACCACAACTCTAAATAAATGCTCCTCTGTATCTGCTCGGTGTGTAAATACGCAACTGTTTGCTAACAAGTTCATCGTATCAACTTAAAAGATGATACAATGTCAGTGTCGAATTCAGCGCTTGTTTCCACTGCCCAAAAGTGGCCCAAAGATCAACGCACGTGTTCATGTATCGCATTTTAGGTGCCTGATGCCATCCAGAAGTGCCAGCGTGCAGGCATCACGGTGCGCATGGTGACGGGAGACAACATAAACACAGCCAGGGCCATAGCCATCAAGTGTGGTATCATCCACCCTGGAGAAGACTTCCTCTGCATTGACGGCAAAGAGTTCAACAGGAGGATCCGCAATGAGAAAGGAGAGGTACTGTAACTACTGTCAGAGTGAGCCAGAGAGCGAGAGAGGCTGAGAGAAGAGAATTTAGAATAAAAAAGAGGGAAAAAAAAAAACCTAAACTGCAACCACTTGTTCTCCATATTTCTGTGTGTGTGTGCATATGTGTGTGCGATTCGTGTGCATGTCCAGGTGGAGCAAGAGCGAATTGACAAGGTTTGGCCCAAACTCCGAGTTCTGGCCAGATCCTCCCCAACCGACAAACACACACTCGTCAAAGGTAAACCAGTTGAACTGTTTCATATTCTGATTTACTGATGAAATGAAACTCAAATTGTTTTGAGGTTGTTCATCATTACACTTACACGTCTTTTTACCAGGCATGAAATTTGACAAAGCTTTGTGAAAGCAGTGAATAACTGATACTATGATCAAGCCTGCTTTCCAATACATTCAAAGTTCACATGGAGTTATGTTGCCTCTCCTCATTTCTGAAGCTGTATTCAATGAACGTCCACCGCTGCATGTGTGTTTGACAGGAATTATTGACAGCACTATGGCAGATCAGAGGCAGGTGGTGGCTGTGACTGGAGACGGGACCAATGATGGACCTGCTCTAAAGAAAGCTGATGTTGGCTTCGCCATGGTAAGCAACCCCTCTTTTCAGTTTATTCTCTGTGTGTCTTTCTCTTTCTTGCTTGCCTTTGTGTGAGACGATGTCTGCAGATGTCTTCTTCACCTCTGCAGTATTTAGGGATCCTTCACAGGCACTCTGCCTCAGGCTATGTAGGTTACATGCTCCCCCTAGTGGATTTCTGAGCTTGCACAGTTTCCCTGCAGTAGATTACTCAGACTTTTCAGACAACAAACTGCTAAAATATAAAGAACAATAGACAAAATACTGATTCTGTTCTTAATTTAAATCCCAACTTTATATATATTTGCTATTTGGCTGTTGCTTTCTCTATTTCTGCTCCCCTTAATTAACTAATGAGGGTTTTCATGTGAGAAGTGTATCCCGTGTAGTCATAGCTGTTAGTTTATCAGTTATGGTGACAACTGCTTTTCACATTACCTCAGCCACTGCAGCATGTTTCCATATACCCCCGGGTAACTGCAGAAGTACCTAATTAAGCCTGATTCCTCGTTGGAAATCAGTGACGTAAGGTGTAAACTGGTAGTAGTTACTACTATGGAGCACAATGTTGACTGCATGCTCTCTGAATTCACCCTGCCAATCATCCTTTAACTCACAGAATATCAGGAAGGGTGTCCCTTGAATATGGAACCTCCTCTCATCAAGCCATCACCACACACTGTCTGCTTAATTAATCTGCATCATCATTATCCATCATCAGAACTGACTCCAGAGTCCACTTATGTCCAGTGGCTGCAGAGTTAATTTAGACAGATTTCTTTCATTTTTCTTTGTGTGGTATATTGAGGAATAATACACTCTGGTGCAATAGACAATCAGCAAATTTAGAATCATCATAGTTGTGTACTAGAACCCTGTTTCTTTCTGACTGCACCATGTCTGCACTCTTCCAGGGTATTGCCGGTACAGATGTGGCCAAGGAGGCATCAGACATCATTCTGACTGATGATAACTTCAGCAGCATCGTCAAGGCGGTAATGTGGGGCCGAAACGTTTACGACAGCATTTCCAAGTTCCTTCAGTTCCAGCTTACTGTCAACGTTGTGGCCGTCATAGTGGCTTTCACTGGCGCCTGCATCACACAGGTCAGAGGCGAATGTGTGTGGGGGTGTGTGAATATGTACCTTACATGAACTGTAGATGCTTAACAGCTTAACATTAACAGTTATGCAACATCACATTCCTATAAGTAAATACAGAGCTACTACAACAACAATAGTACAGTAAATCATGAAAACACATATTACCAAAATAAAGCATACATCTAACCGGTGGCGGCTTTAACTAATTTATGATATTTAACATAAAATAAATAAATAGATTTAGATATCTACTAAGATATTTTGAACATTGAAGATTGAAGATTGAAGATTTGAAGACCCTGGTAAAATCTTAAAAATAAAAGATAAACACAAGTAGAAGTAGCTCTTTTCAAGCTTGCTCTGAGTCACATTTTTTCAACAGTGTGGTCACAGTGAAAAGGCCAATGTGGCATTCTGATGTTGCCATTTCAACAAATCCCTCCCTGGTTCTGTTGTGCTCTCTGGAGTGGTGACCATTTTTTCCTCACAAGCTTTCTCCACAATTACCAGACAAGGGAAAGGAGAGATTCTTAAAACAAAGTAATTCCTGGAAAAATTGTTTGATCAATAGAAAAAATAAAATATCCATCTGTGCCGCTGAGGTAGTCGTGGCTTGTTGTGTTGAACATGTTCTGATTGAAACGGCCCGAAACAGTACAAGTGATACATATAAGACCATGTTTTCACAAATCAAAATTAACCATAAGCCCAAAGGATCATGTTTCACTTTCACTCCTTCCACAATAACGTCACCATTTTTGACATGACAGAGAGGATCAAAATGGAATATCCTGTTGAGTGGGTTATATTAGCAGAACTGCAGCATAATCTGTAATCCAAGACCATTAGAGTGCAATGCAAAACAAGCAAAACAATGGCTTATTTTAGATGATAATGCAGGTGGGTGAAAAATGTCCGTTGGGTAAAGTAGCTAAAGGAGTGGTTATTAGTTACTTTCTACTCCTGGTTGTGTTGAAGTTACTGATTCTTATTCCCTTGCATTTCCCCAGGACTCTCCCCTGAAGGCAGTGCAGATGTTGTGGGTAAACCTGATCATGGATACTTTTGCCTCCCTGGCCTTGGCAACAGAGCCTCCCACAGAGTCTCTGCTGAGGAGGAAGCCATATGGTCGCAACAAGCCTCTCATCTCCAGCACCATGACAAAGAACATCCTCGGACACGGAGTCTATCAGCTCGTTATCATCTTCACACTGCTCTTTGTTGGTACGGACTGTAATTTTGCTCTGTGGTACACCAGAGACATGGTGCGACATAACAAAGGTTCAAACAAATAAGTCTTTTTTATTTATTTTTTTTCCCCCCTGTAGGCGAACAAATCTTTGACATTGACAGCGGCCGTAACGCACCTCTCCACTCTCCTCCATCTGAGCACTATACCATCATCTTCAACACCTTCGTCATGATGCAGCTCTTTAACGAGATAAATGCTCGAAAAATCCACGGAGAGCGAAACGTGTTTGATGGTATCTTCAGGAACCCCATCTTCTGCTCTATTGTTTTTGGCACCTTTGCTGTGCAGGTAAGCTGATGCTAATTATTCAATTTTATGTTGAAACTATTGAACGATCATTTTTTCTTATGAATAAGTACATATTCTATGCTACATATTTTCATAGTGTTTGAGTCTGACTTGTGCTGTGCTTTGTGTAGATTGTGATTGTGCAGTTTGGGGGGAAGCCATTCAGCTGTCAACCTCTGGACCTGGAAAAGTGGATGTGGTGTGTTTTCCTCGGGCTGGGAGAGCTCGTCTGGGGGCAGGTAACATGCAAACTCATCTGTTTCTCTGTCTTTAGATTCTCCCGCTGTGCTTCTTTTCTTGCTTTCCTTCTAGTTTACTATGTTTTATTCTCCCTCTGTGCATCTCTACTGTAAGCCTGTCACCTTTCCTTCTCACCCAATGCTCTGTCTTCTCTGTGGGTTAGGTCATTGCCACCATACCCAATAGCAGGTTGCGCTTCCTGCGGAGGGCTGGCCAGCTAACTCAGAAAGATGAGTTACCAGAGGAGGATGTAAACGAAGAAAATGAGGAGATCGACCACGCAGAGAGGGAGCTGAGGAGAGGGCAGATACTGTGGTTCAGAGGACTCAACCGCATTCAGACTCAGGTGAGAACACGAAAAGGTTCAATCCCCGCGATTTGCTGTTTCATTTCAAAGAAAGATTTTGGTTTTGGTTTAAAAATGGAGGTGACACTTAAAAAGACCCTCATATCAATACTTTATGATAAAATGTATGATTTTGTTTGAGGAACAATGAACACCAACAACTTTAACTTTCACCTGTGATGTTTGCTTTTCTGTTTTACTGTCTCTCTTTGTCATATAATCAGTTTCCAGTAGGAAGTTTCACCACGACAGACATTACCTTACCCCCAAGAAGAAAATGCTAGACTATGCTATATGTTGTACATGTTAGTCAGTAACAGACATAAAGTAATTTTTTTTCAAGATGAATTATTTAGGTGCATGAAGATGCAGCTTTCTCTCGTTGGACTTGATGTGAACACCAGCGTGGACCTGCAGAAGATCGGCGGTCAAACCTCTGAGTGAAATACAGCTGGAAATAGTCAATGATATGTTTGTACTGTGACGAACTCTGCAGACCGCCATCACTGTGATATTCAAGACAGTTTTGCCTGTGTGTTGGATTTGGGTGTTCAATGATCTCATCTCACTGATGGTCCAGGGTGAAGCTATCCCATGACACGGTATTGTTGACCAGTATCCTACAGAAGCAGCCAAACAGGGTTAAGAGAGAATAGAAATTGTTTTGTTTTTTTTAGTATTAAAGGAAAACTACAATTTATTTCACCTTTTATTGACAGAGCTTCAGCCATCAGTTTGATCAGATGTGATAATATTATACCAACCAAGTTACTGGCTGAGATTTCGACACCACAGCTTATTCAGATTTATTTGGAAGAGAAGAAAAAACAAACTATGAAATTACATTAACACAAACTGCATGGTAAACATCCATCACAGGTTACAGGCCGACTTCCTGGTTCAACTTTGACTTACCACACTTGCCATAGTTGTGCACTTACAGTTCTCCTATAACCTGACACACCAGATGGTTTGTTACACAGAACCATCTGGGAAGGCTTCTTTGGAAACTGTTTGGAAAAGGGCAGGCGCTTTCAAAAAATACTTGGCAGCTGATTGGATGAACCATCTGTCTATCTCATTTATTTCTCATTTATTTATTTATGATTTAAAATCATTGAGGTTTCCCTCATTTGCATCGACGTGTAGAAATACACAGAGGACCATACTGGGTGAAAACATTTGCACACTGAGGTGAAGTGGTTTGAGATCATTGTCTCTGAAATGTCCGGGGGTAGAGAGCGTGTCGATCTTAATAGTGTGTTGTGGTAATTCAGTGTGTTTGGTGCACAAAAACTAAAAACTATCATTGTGTGTCACGGTTTAACTTCAATCAATGAGATTCTGCATGGTGGCACATTGGTGCCAATGTGCAGTAAGTGCAATCTTACTCAATTTTGCTTTTACTTACTAATTTTTCTATCTAATCACCTGTGCACTTGGATTTGGATTTTTTTGGCACTGTCACTACAAATTTCTCTGAAGACAATGATTTCACAAGAAGTAGAACGAATGGCAGGAACCACAAAAAAACTGTAATAAACTGTAGTTTTCCTTTAATTCCTGCAGCAATGTGATAGGAAATGCCACAAAACAATAGACTTTGAATGATGTAAATGGCTGCATCTGTATATTTGTATATTATAAAATCACTCATCAACTTGCCTGTCTTTGAAAGGGTCCAATCACCCAAATTACCAAAAAACAATTTTTCTCACCTACCTCAAGCGGTTTCTGGCCTTGAAGATGGTTTTGGTTGTATTTGTTTAAGTTTTGAGGTTTCTGTGTCTGGTATTTCTAAATCCATGTAGCCCATAAAATTGCAGTGAACTTCTTCTAACCAATACACTGTACACAATACACTGAAATTTACTCAATTGTATAAGGGTAGAGAGTTTTTTCTTTTTTCTTTCTTTCTTTTTTTCTTTTTTTGTAATTTGGGTGAACTGACCTTTTAAGTTGAATTCACCATTTCGCTGAGGGGATACTACACTCTGACCTTTAGCTGCCCCCCCCCCCATCGTGTCATGATTGAGAAACGCTGTACTCTGTTTACCACCAAAGTCACCCAGCCAGTCAACCTGTGTTGCCATTTGGTCTGTGTCACTCTGAGCAGCCATTTGTCCTCTCCTGTCCCGCTCTCCTCCCACAGATTGAAGTAGTCAACACCTTCAAGAGTGGCACCTCCTTTCAGGGGGCGGGGGCTCTGAGACGCCAATCATCCACCACCAGCCAGACCCAGGATGTAACCAATGTTTCTAGTCCTAGTCACGTGTCCTTGTCCAATGCCCTTTCCTCTCCTACAAGCACTACTGCTGCTACTGCTCCTCCCACTACTGGCCGTGAGTCAGAACTCTGTCAGTCTGCTTCTCTGCTCTCTTTGCTTCAGAGGTGCCACCCTGCCAAGAAGAAAACTTTAATCCACACATTTTCAGATGTATTCTTCTTAAAACTAATTACTGTGATGGTCTTCACTTGGGGTTGGCATCTCTGAAGATTTGTCTTTTTGTTCTTTCTTGCTATCTGCTTTTTTCATTTCCTCTCTTTCTTCTGTCTTTTTGCTGTTCATACTGGATTTCAAATTCATCTTGATATCTCCTCCCATGCTTGGGTGTACTGTCCTCTCATTGGTGAATGTGTGTTTGTTTCCCCAGAGTGCTAGGAGCGCAGGACTAAGGGTGATACCCACGGCGTGACATTTCAGGTTGTGAGTTTGTCTCCCTCTGCTCATCCCCCATCCGTCATCCCATCCCTCAATTCTCCCATTTTTATGTCTTGACGGACATTAATGTGAACTAATTTCAATCAACTCACCAAGGGACTGGGTAAACATTCAAGTATAAGTTGCATTGTTGTCTTATTTCATCTGTGAGTTTGCTTCAGATGAGGCATACCACGCTGAATTGACCTAAAGCAAAAATTTACAGGCTATTTTATGTATTCTGCTGCTGACACATCATCTGCAATGACTAAAAAACACAAGTGAAGCTACAGTATGTGGGGAAGTGACATCCTTTAAAGAACTCTACATTTGTCACCTTGCAAAGAAGTGTTCAACTAAAATCTACTCACAAGGAGACACTGTCTCTACTTAATGCTTTTATCCACCTCCATCTTCTCTTCTCTCTGTCTGTCTAACACACACACAGACACGCACACACACTTTAACACACTTTTCCTGTCTCGACTTAATTAATGAAAATCAATGCTTAGGGTGTGTTGGACAGGAATGGAGGGGACTGGAGAAACTCCACAAAGCAGTACTGTACCAATAATTCATCCCGTCTTGTCGCTCCATATTGTCAGTGTAGTTGACTGTCATGTTGCCATAGTTACGGACATACATAGATCCTCTGCAGCACCATGGACTTAAATTCAACCCCCCACCCTTTTCTGACACCCCATCAGTGTTACCTGTCAGACATCCTGTCACATGCACTCATCCAGGCAGGCTCCTCTTATTATTATTTTTTTTCTGTTTTGTCTCCTTCTACCCTACTTTGCCACAGTTAGAATATATACAGTACTCCCATAATTTTGAATTGTAATATCTTTGAGACTTTTTCTGCTCTGTTAACATATTATATTTTAATAATACACTGGGGATCATAACTTATTAATATTTAGTGGTTATGTACAATAATAGAAATGCAAAGTAGCAATAAATGAGTTGTACAGAATAATCGGGCCGAAATAATTTGTGATGTAAACAGGAACATTATCAATGCAACCACGATGACATGATATCCCTATTGGATCTCCTGTGTATACTCCAGAGTGCTGGTGATTCAGTTTCCTGTAAAAACATCAAATCAAATCTTTTTAAGCATCAGATGATTCCTGTGCATCCTGAACTTCAACATGTTGACGATACTGCACATGCAGACAGGATACAAAGATAACTGTTTAATCTCAGTTAAGATTCACATAGTTTGGGGCCTATACTTGAGTGTTTACTTAGATGTGCATGGAGTTGAGAACATGCTTTGACCGTCAGACCTCTGATAGTAAAATTATTATTTTCATTATTCACTATCACGTGTTCTGTGTCAGCAGTCTGTGTGCTGGTGTCCACTCCCTCACCATCCTGTTGTCTTGGTGCATGTAATTTGTGTTGACCTCTTGTTTACTTCCTGTATTCATAATATCTTAACCTGCTGTGTTAGCTTGTTGTCTAGATGCCACTTTTTTTTTTTTTTTTTTTTTTGAATGTGTTGTTTTGTTGTGAGTTTTACACTGCAATGCTCGTGTTGAACCAGCTTCCTCATGCAGACTTGACTCTCTCCATCGCCCTGTTTGGGACCATGCTTTACCCACCCTGTGCTATATTTGTGTGTTTGTGTGTCCCATTCAGAGTCTGTGTGGATATTGTACCAGACAGTGCTCTGGTACCTCCAGAAGTTTTTTAAACCACCTGATTGGATCTCTCAGATCTAACCTCCTTCCTTCTTACTGACCTCGTCCACCAGATTTCTTCAAACTTGCATGTGATATTTTCCTTTAATTTTTTCCGTGAGCATTCCATTTATTAACGTGGCTTGTTTCTAGGTATACAGCACATTGGACTAAAGCGTATACTTACAACGAGCGTTTGTGTTGCTTTGGTATTTGTTTTTCTTGAAATGTATGATTTTGTTGTATTTTTTTATGATTGTTTTCCTCACGGTTTTCCTTGCACGCTAAAATTGAGTGACTTGTGAAGCGTAGTTATCTTGTGAAAGCAGAACACAGACTGCAGTTGCCCTCTCTCTGGCTGCTCCTTCACCTTGTCCCCCTTCTCCACCTCTTTATCCTCAAATGAGAGGTTCCCTCCTTCCCTTTTGTCCCTTCTCTCCTCCACTTCCCTCTTCTCTCTCATCCCAAGGGTCCCTCCAACCCTTCCATTTCATCTCTGGCATCATCTCTCATTGTTTTTCTTCTCTTTCCTCCCTTTTTACGACAGATCCGCGTTGTGAATGCATTCCGTAGTTCCCTCTATGAAGGCCTGGAAAAACCAGACTCCAGAACATCCATCCACAACTTCATGACACACCCTGAGTTTAGGATAGAAGACTCCACGCCCAACATCCCCCTCATCGACGACACGGATGAAGATTCTGCTCGGAGGAGGAGGAAGTACTCCAGCCAGCCCTCGTCCCCCAACAAGAACAACAACGCCATCGACAGTGGCATTAATCTCACCATCGACACCAGTAAATCAGCCGCTTCCTCCAGCCCCGCCAGCCCTCTGCACAGCTTGGAGACCAGCCTCTAACCCTGATCCTAACCTCAGTTCTAACCTCTAACCTCCTTCCCTTGCAATCTGGGTGTGCCTCCTCCAATTCCCTCCAGACCTATAACTGCAACCTTATACCTTGTCAACCCCGAAAATTTCACCCAGTCCAGCTGAATTCTTATCCTCCAGCCTCCCCAATTTACCACCTACACAGGACAGGTCCTGTGGCAACATGTCCATCTTTGCCCCTTAACCTTGAGCTCCTAAAGCTCCACTTTCCAATCGACATGGAGAAAATCTAAAGTAATACTGCAAGGTGAAAAGAAAAACAAACTGACATACAATCAAAAAAGCGCAACAAAGCCACAAATCCTACACAGCCATCCTGCTTTTATGGTTGTATGTGTATGGTGGCGGCAGCGGTGGTGTGTATGACTATATGTGTGTTAGCATGTACTGTCTAAGCGTGCCGCTGAATGCACATATGTATAAACTGTGTCTTTAGTGGCACCAGGAGGAGGACAATAAGGAGAGACACTGCTGTGGAGTAAAAATTGCAAAACAGGACGGACTCTAAAACTCCCCTTACACTCCCTCTCCTCAACAATAACATTGTCAATACTGATGATAGTTTAAATTCAATTGAAAAACATTGTTATTATTCTGATTCTGATTCTGATTATTATTGTTATTATTGTTGCTCCTGCATGAATGTACATTACCCAAGTTTTATTTAAAAGGGTTTTAATTTTATTGAAGTTCTTTCGTTCTGATGGGCTAGGCCTCACGCTGAACTACTAAGTTAAAGACAGCTTCTCTGAGTTCCTGGCCTGCAAAGTTCCTTCCTCTGTGTGGCATGAACATGTACCCGACTGTAAAAATTTATTTCATCCATAAACGGAAACGTGTGACGAGGTGGTAGGGCTCAACTTGCACAGTAGTTTTGCACCTGTCAGAAAAGAGGAACACAAAGTAATGTTGATGATGATAGCATTTATGGGATATATTCTATAAATATAAATTCATATAAATATATTTAGAGAGAGTTTATCTTTGTTTGTTGGCATGTTGCCTTGTTCCTGCTTCAATGGCTCAAAATACTTTGACTTATTTATGTCTTAAAGAGAATGTAATTTGTTTACAACCTCGTAGAGATAAACTTCCTGGTTTCTAGAAAGAGGGAGGCGAAGCTGAAACTCAGAAGGTCCAGAGCTGTGTTGGTGTGTTATTACTGAAAAACCATTTGCTGGAATTTGCCTGCTATCTTGTCAAATATTGTAGATATTTTTAGAGGATGAACAAACAAAAAGAAACCAAAATATGGTGGGATACATAGTAAATGTGGAATCTTAGTATTACTCTATATGATTGTTGGGATCAATTTGGAGTGGCTTGCCTTTGGTTTTTCTAAACAGAGTCCTCCTTTTCGTGACAGAGGGGGAATATTTCATTCTTTTTTTTCTCTACTACTTCTCTTTTTTTTTTTATTGTGTTTTTTGTTTTTTTCTGTGCTTCAGCGCTGGCCTGAGCTCAGTGCTCAAGTCAAAGGCTGATGTCAGGACCTTAACAGTGAACTGTCTTCTAGATAAACCTTGCTTGTTCGAAGGACTTGATGTTTTAAAAATATGTGTGACCATCAAATGGCTGCAATCGAGTCATATTAGAAACTTACAAAGTTATATTTGGCTTATCTGTACCGCACGGAAATCAGACTTTTTGTTCTATTTTGTTAAAATTTGGAATATATTGTGCTGTTATTTTTTATTTAATTTTGATTTATTTTGGTTTAAAAGAGTTTCTTTTCCTCTAGCAGAGAGACACATGCAAAAGCTGTTGGCATTTTTAACATCTGAAAAAAATGGAAAAACTGACAAAAAAAAAAATACAACAAAATGGAATGTTGCTTTGACTCTTTTTCTATATATAAAAAAAATGATCCTTTTCTGCACTATCTGGTTATGAATGAAAACTTCTGTGGTGTAATTCTAGATGTGCTTTTGTGTGTTTTAACCAAGCTTGTCTTCCTGCCGTCACAGAATATACAGTACTCTAGCATCTCAACTGTACTCACTAGTTGTGAACTATTTATTGTGCTTTGACCAATCAGACATTACCAGAGAGACGTTACATACAGAAGGCACATTTACCCAGTCTTATTGCACTCAGAAGGACAAGGCCACTTAACTAGCCTGTACTATTGTTATTTCTATTACTAACCGAAGTCATTGGCAAGCATGACCTGATAGGCTCATTATGCAACTTGAGAAAATTGAGAATTTTCTACTTAAAAAAAAAAATCCTATATACTACTACAGTATGTACAATCATTTATCTGAACAGTTCTATCTTTTTCTTTTTTATATCCTCCTCCTCTGTCATTTCCCAGTCAATATGTCCATCTGGAGAGGGTGCACAAGCTTTACCAGTCAGCTCAGGCGTGTTGAAAACGTAACATGGACCATTTGAATATGAATCTGTCTTATTTGAGTTGAAAAAAAAACAGTCTGGATTCTGATATTCTGCTTAGAAGCTGTTGATTTATTTTGTTTATTTTCCAATGTTTTAACTTGACAATTTATTTGTTTATTTGTCTGTAAAAAATTAAAAACAATAAACAAAACAAAAAAACATTACAACAGCAACAACAGCATTTTCAATTAAAAAAAAAAAAAAGAAGACTTAAGCCAACATTCTCAAACCACTTTTACATCCAGGAGGACATTCAGCTTTAAGAGGATGCAAAGACATGGAGTTTAAAAATAATCTTTGTAAATACAGCAATGAGTCCTCTGAGGACAGAAACTCCATGCGGACTAGTGTGAAAACAGGAACTCTTCCTGACTACGTCTACCATCATGTACCACAACGAGTCATACTGCCGACACAGCTGTTTGGCTGTATGTAATCAATCACTGCTCCTGTCAGAAACACTTCAAAACATCGTGGTTACATCCAAATGATAACACGTGTTGTAACAACCAATAATTATGTTGATGATGACACCGATGATGATGGCGATGATGATGCTGATGATAATGATAATGATGATATCAATGATACTTCTTGCAATATACTCTCACCTGCCTCGATGTACTGTATTTAGCAGCATGCAGTTTGTGGAACAAAGAAAAAGAGAAATGCCAACAGATAACTTTTTGGCATTCCATTTATGGGTAAGTGATTTAAGTGTTCATCTTGTTTTTATGATATTTTTTTTTATCTATACAATAATTGTAAATAAAGAACTCAATGTCTTTGTTCATTTAATACTATGCAAAAAGTCATGCTTTTCTGATTGTTACCCACCCTTAATCCTGAGTGTGTTGCTGGAATGTTTATGGTCTCAAAAGTCAGTAAAAACAATGTGATGTAAATTATTTTCTAGCTTGAGGAAAAAGTTAAATGACGATGAAAATTATTATTATGATACCATGAGGCGGATGATAATAATAATGGTGGTGACAGTGATGATGATGATACTGATGATGATGATGCTGATGATAATGATGATGATGATGATGAACTGTGACTCTTGCTGCTTGACTGTCCCATTTACCACACTCCTGACAGGAGCGCAAGTGAAAAACATAATAAAAACAAAAAAATGAAAAATCACTAAATAAATCTCCCAGAGCAGCATGACCCAGCATGGTGTGTCCTGGCCCCGTGTGACATGTCCTGTTCTGATTCGTTGTGCTTCACCAACCACTTTGACTTGGATTGTTTTTCCATTTTCACTGATTTGTTTCATAAGTTCCTGCTTATAGGACATGTTTTTGGGTTTCACTTTAATTATGAAAAGCTGCCGGCCAAGGGTTTTAAACTGATGACAGTAATTGCAACATCCCGGTTCAAGGCTGGTTCTCCCCCCTTTTCTCTCTAGTCTCGAATGCAGACATAAAAAGGCTTAAAAAGGAGGAAGTAATGTTCATTTGCATTGAATTCCAGCTGCCTCTGTAAGGCTGTAGGCACAGTGGTGCTTTGAGGCTAGTGCTAACATGCTGATGTTTAGCACTGTTGCTGATGTGTAATGTTTGCCCTGTTCATAAGCTTAGTTTAGCATATTAGCATGCTAACATTTGCTAATCACAAAGTACAGCTGAGGCAGATGGGAATGTCATTCGTTTAGCAGGTTATGAAGATGATGGCACAGGTGGAAAAGTTAAGGGATCACCAAAGTAATTACAGTTCAGCTGAGGGGGACATTAATTTCTTTTAACTAACTTTCAGGAAAATCCATCCAATATTATTTAATGCATTTCATTCAAAACCAAAAATGTCAACCTCAAGGTGGCGCTAGGGAAAAAGTCAGAAGATCAACAGTCATTAGGATCCATCACCTGGTGACCATGAATGTACAAAATTTCACAGAAATACTTGAGATATTTTTATATTTCTGCTCGAAATAAGCAGATTTGAAAAACAAATCTCCGATTATTTCATTTTAAAAAAAAAGTTTTTCTGAGAGCAGCTTCCTTTTCAAAGAATGGCCTTTTCACATTCTCCCAGTTGCATGCCTAGAAGCAGCCCAGCACAACACCAGTTTGATCTGTGGCTGCTCCACTGGAGCAGTTGCGGATGAAAAGCTTTGCCCAAGGGCATCTTAGCCCTGGTAATGCGGGAGGGGCAAGTATTTGTGTTTCTGATTTATTCACACAGTTCTTCCATTAGCATGCTGCACATCTCACTATACAGTAGTGATTATATTGAAAGTGGCAGACCAGTACAGTCCTAAAGCTGATACATACTATACTATGTTTGTCCTACACTAAATGCTGTGAGCTTTCCTGAGATTTTTAAGAGCTGCAGTTTGGTCAAACACATCAACATGCCAAATATGTTTCCATGACTTAACATTGCTGATGCTTGCAGTGTGCTAAAGTAGCTTTGTACAGGACTGATCCCATCCAGTTACGATGGGAAGAGGGAGACGGTGTATTAAAAACATCATAAAATTGCAGCGACTTAATCTTCTTTTCAGTACCAGTATTATACTGGTATGATTTAGACCCCATGTACAGAATCATTTAAAAGAAAAGCTCTGCACACAAGATGACTGTATGTTCCAAAAATGATGACAAGCTCAAACTGATGGATGGAAATGCTGCCACACTGGTGCTGAATATCAGTGCAGTTGTTTTCTTTTTGTTAATCAGTCACTCCTCCTACAGTAGTGACTGGTTTAGTCAGTTTGACATAATTATGGTGTGGGTGTTAGAAGGGGCTTGTTATATAACAGAAAGGCCATAGAAGAAGTTTTATCTAAATGTCTAAGTCCACTGGAGGGCAGTATTTCACTAGAGATAACTCAATACACCATTGTGTTCTTGTTCAGCCATGTGAAGATCCCTGAAAAGTGTCTCTTCAGCATCAGTGTTCTTTTATTATAAAACAAAGGTCATCATGATTCAGTCTCATCATTCTGAAGTGCAAAGCACTCAGACACTAACATTCATGTCATTGGGGCTCCCCGGTGACTCACCTGGTAAAGCGCGAATCACTTAGGCTCAGTCCTTACCGCAGCTGTTATGAGTTCGAGTCTGCCCCATTGCCCTTTGCTGCATGTCATCCCCCCTCTCTCCCCAACTTTCCTGTCACTCTCTGTCACTGTCCTATCAGAATAAAGGCAAAAAACTGCCCTAAAGATCCATGTGAGTTGCCAAAGAATAGCCAATAGGAAACACTGTCATCTTATTTGTCTTTTTCTTAAATTAAACTTGTTTTCAGTCTCCAGGACTTGTTTAGGTTGAACATCAGTGTTATTCAAGACAAAAAATGTCAAGCTTTGTTCCACATGAGACATGATCATTTTGGTATGAGATAGCAGGAACCTGTCCTTATTTACTTACTTTACCACCTGATGAATGCAAGCCCAATATTGACTCTCCATTCATCTCTGTTCAGGTTTCCACCAACCCCTGAGGCAAATATCTGGCTCTTTAAGTGATAAAATCTCCACTGTGTTCATCAGCTAGTTGCTAACTGCTGCAGGGAACTGGACAGTGATGTGATGTACTGTAACTCTGTGCGCTCACGCACAAGCTTTAAATTCAGATAGATAAAGTCTGTTTAGCTTTTACATTATGTGAATTAGACATTCTGAGATGCTGTTCTGCTCAGTTATTTAAGTAACCGTAGCCTGTCTGTCAACTCCAAACAGTCTGCCCATTCTCCTCTGAGTGCCTGAGTTATTGCTCAGTTATGATTTGTCACACAAATTGCTTGTTAGCATGCTAACACTGGAGATATATCTGGGCTTAAGTAGTGAATTGACCAACTGACATTGCCATTTCAAGAGCCACAAGCTATCGCATGGCTAAAAAGCCTCCTTTTTTGTTCACTCTTGTGCTGGTCGCATCAGTACATGTTGAACAAAGGTGTAATGATTGTTATGGTGTATTTAGTCTCTGTCAGGTTTTGATCATGATACTTGCTTCCAGTTGCAAGCTTTGCCTGACCAAATAAAGGACTATTTGAAGGGTTGTGTCTACCAAGTTACAACAAACAAACAAACAAACAAACAAACAAACAAACAAACAAACAAACAAACAAACATATTTGTTCACTCATCCCTAGTGGTATCTCTGCATTTCCATCCAAGAATCATCATCAGCATGTCTGGTTACTCAGGCTAATCTGCAGAACATGGTGTGAGCAGTTTTCACTGGCACTGAAACAGTCCCTATGAAAGTTGTTGACACAATGTTCAGTGAGTCATCTGGAGTGACAAGAGATTTTGGGATGTTCTTGTTGAATTTTTCAGTGCTGAGAGGAGGTAGGAATCTTAGACATATCTCAAAACCTGGGCACTGAAAACAAAGTAATCTACATGGCTCCGCTAAACATGAGGAAATATGCTTTTGCTAATGCTTTATTTTATAGT